GTTACAGCACACAGCATCAGCACACTTCATCTTATATACTCTATGTTTTATCCTCTCTGCTTTCAGCATGCAAATGCCTTTGTTCATCCTTGTCTGACCTTGTTTCATTGTATCACTTGCTTCTTTCCATTTTCCTTAACAGTGTCTCTTCCTTCTTAGAGAAAAAAACAACTTCTGGTAGGCTCTGCTTTGCATTCCTTTCCTTTCTTCCAAATGAATTTATTTGCCTCTGCTCTCCTCCTTATTGCTCATGGGTAAAACAAGGGACATTGCTGGTTTCAGTGTTCTAATTGTGAATTTTTCCACAGACTTGCTAACCATTTTGCTGCTGGCCCTTTGAAACAGCTGAGCAGCAGCCAACAAGAAGTTTATGTAACATAATTAGCGATCGGGGGACAGTTGTGCCAAAGCATCGTGGTACACCATCAGGACAGCAATAGATTGCTCAGGGACCATGCAGTCTTCCAAGACTCACAAGGATAAAGCTTGGAGTAACCTGGTTTGACCCTGATCTAAGCCGAAGTTTGGACCTGAAACATTCTGAGTCCTCTTCCAATGTGCATTTCCATCATTTTTGGAAGCACCCTGAAATACAGCTTCCACCAACTCCTGCAGGATACCAGCATTCCAATGAACATGATGTGAAGGCATCTTTGAATGTCCTACTCAAAGCTTACTAATATCTTTAGAGCCCTTACAATGGCAGCTATAAGGTTCCAGTTAGCAACTTCAGCTCCCACTAATGTCATTAGAAAAAGTTTGCTCAGCACAGCTACCAGCCTGCCTTACTCAGAGTGCTTTATTAATAATTTCTCATTTGGAGAGTTCCTCCAATAAGATCTTTATCCTTTTTTCAAGCAGGAAAGACCCATTTTCATTCAAAACTCCTCAGAATAATGCTATTATATTCAGCCTGTGGTATCTGCAGGCTGTCCTGGCTACTTACCAACTTTTATGATAGGAACAAAGAGATGGTAATCTACTGCTCAACCTCAATTCCCTTCCCACCACCTCATTTATAATAAGAATATTCTTACGGTAGACAGTGAAGCGGGTGCCAAAATCTCACTTGCATCAGTGGATTGGGGAGGTTCCTCCTTGTGCTACATAAATCTTTATATGCATTTTACATGTTTTGTGTTTCATTGCGTAAGTAGATGAGTCTACAGTCCTAGTTCTCCCATTTATAAACTATTTTCATACCTTTTGTGGTATTGTGGATGCTGGCCCTTCGTGCATCAAGGGAAGACAGAGCACCTTAATATTTCACATTGACAATATTTTTGCATTGATCCACATGTTAAACACTCAGTTATACAGATATATTCTTGTGATCCTTTCCTGATCTCTTGATGCACAGATGTGAAGAGCTGCAACCACCTCTCCAAAAAATAAACACATGGAAGCTTTCCAACTTGCAAAGTTACTAGTCTGTATTCTATAGGCTCTATGCATTTTCTTTGCAGAGCTGATAATTTATGTGAAGAATCATGGAAATCCTGACAGCCAGTAGCTCCTATTGGAACACGTTAATAACTCATTTGATACCAGTGAACATGAAGACAGAAGGTAAAACATCTATTTCCCTGTACGTGTTTGTACTATAGTGAATATTGCTGAAATACCACATGTATTTTTGATTTTATAATACATGCCCACATTTTCAGTAGATCTTTCTTAGGAACTCTGATACAAAATGCGAACCACGTCCAATGACCGTCAGGGCAATTACCAGAGCACTATCAGAGACAGACACAACAAGAGCAGGCAGTCTCACGATTTCTTATAGCTTTCACATTAAATCTGCTTGCTCTATTCACACACATGATTCCAGCAGAGTAATATTTCTCCTGGTATAACACCTTTGATTGAAATGGCACTGGAGTGAGAACAATTGTGATCCATCTGATGAGAGCAGGCAGCGTTTGCCCAGTGTTCTATCTGTACGTTAAGCAGCCCCACAAAACACAATTGGTTTTCATTGGCTCAAAGAGACTCATGTCTGCATTCTGAGGGAAGCACAGGAGTAAAACTGAAGCACTGTCTCTAAGATCACCCCTTGCAGAATGCAGAAGCTCATGTGAAACCCCCTTTTGCTTTCAAAGACACTTAAAAACACACTACATAAATTAAAAATTGAAGGGAGAAATAAGAATTAAACCAGACTTCTTCTCATAGCCTAAGGGATGAAAAATACTTGTTTCAGAATTGATTACAGCCAGCAGTGGTTCATCTCTGGAGACCCAAGCTCAATTCGTAACTGAAAAACAAGGTTTGTGGTTTTAAATTAAGTCAGTTCCATTCCTCTTCCCAGTCACAGTGTGAAGTCAAACACCTGACAAAGTACAAAGTGGTCAGAACAAGTACTTCCTCCTTTTGTTAGAAAGACCCAAAGATACCTCATGCAACCGTCTTTTCTTTATCAATGTTTAGTAAGTTGCAACTTGCACACTTTGCACATCTTGTGTTTTAAATTGATTCAGTGTTTGGAGGACAGAGGGTTTTCCCGTGCTTTTGTGCATGTAGCAATCATGACCATTAAAAATGCTTCTACAATTTTCTGTATTTGTCAGAAGCAGAAAACAGCACATAGTCAAGTACTGACCTTTTTGTTCTATCAAAATAACATGCCAAGTCCTAAAAATGGTCTCCATCTCAATGCAGTGCAACTTAGTGCACTCAGCATCTCATTTATGTTATTGATTCTTCACTAATACAAGCACTATCTCCAGCTTAAGAAGCATGCTGTAATTAAATCAACCAAAAGCAAGCACAGGCATTATTTTTAAGCATAAGAGTTGAGTGTTATTTAAGTACTTTAACCTCTGCTAGATGTCTTCCCAACAACAGGCAGAGATCTTTGGAACCACGTCCATAATCTTTCTCATAGTCTATTTTTCCTCTATCATTTTCTTAATTCAAAACGTTTTTTTGTTGTTGTTGTTGTCTTAATTCCTCTAATCCTCTTTTCTGAATATACAAAAGCACTAAAAATGGCCTCTTTTAACTGCCAGTTGTTAATACTTATTCAATAGAGCAGCATACAGGGCAGGGCTCAGCCCAGCAGCACTGTACAAAGGCAGAGTCCCACTCAATTCTTCTGAAGCTTTGCCTAAACAAAAAAACTGCAATCCTTCATTTCAGCAAAAGAAGCTTTGCATTACTACATCCATCCATGAAAACATGCCCAGGTGCAGTTGGAATGCGTGCTGGGTAATTCCCTGCTGCAGTGTAGTAGGTGGAGCTCAAATTATGGACCAGATTCAGATGGCATAACTCTACTGACACACCGCTCATATCGAAGTGAAGCAGATGCTTCTAATACAGTGTGAGAAACACAGCCAGCGCTCTCTCAGAATGACAGGAAGCACTTTTTAATATAAAAAAGAGACTTCTAAAAGCTAAGTTAATCAGGATTATCTATTTCAGACTCCCAAAACTCAATTCCTGATCACTCAACCACAAAACTTTTGCAGGGGAGAGCAAGGAATTCTGCACACACACACGAACCCAAATTAAAAGAGCTTATGCTGACGGTGCTGCTGTGTGAAAGCCCCATTTAGGAACTGCATCAAAGCTTCACACTCCAGACAGCAGATCCAATGCCACAGACGCAGCACCCACCCCAGCAGGAGCTGGGCTCCCTGTCCCTGCGGGAGCACACAGCTCTGCAGAGGCACTGCAGCCTCCCTGGGCACTGCTGGCAACAGAGCTGCAAGCGCCGTGTGGCCGCTGCCACGGAAAGCATGGGCAGTTCATGCAGCAGCAGACAGACAAAAAGAAGTGACGTGCTCTATTAGCAGATGGGATTTTCAAGCACTGTCTCAGGGCACTCCGACTGGGAGAAAAAAGCAGGCTACAGCCCAAACCCAGTCAGTCTGAGATCCACTCAGGATCGAAGCAGAACACATACAGTAGTAACACAAAGCACCACATTCCACAGGACACTGCACCTTAGCCTGTATTTCAAATACCAAGTTAACTGTCCCTTCCATTTTTAACTCTTCCATCTGGAATTTGGGAATATATCCTAACAGGCCAATTATAACATTTCCCAGTGACCCGTACCATTAATGCGTTTAGGCTGACAGTGATGAACTAAGGGAATGAGCATGTGAATTGGTCTTTCAGCAAGGGTATGGGCAACCTTATGCTATGATCTTCTTACTAGTTTATTAGATATGTATTTCCTCTTCAAAGCAAGTTTAAGATCTAATACCAAAATTTCACCAAGAATTCAAATAGCACAGCAGCCAGTTATCATCTGTTTAACTTAAAGTCAAATACAGGAAACAGACACTTTACACATCAGTAACAATTGCACACACACACACTTATTGCATCCTATCTGTATAAATTAATTTTCACAAATCCATTTTGCTTTCTCTACCCATACTCACATTCACAGAAAGCACAACACACAGACAATGTGAAACACTTCCTGTAGAAAAGCCTACGGGCTCCTATGAGAATAGTCTGGCAAAACCACTTTTGTTTAAAAACTCAAGTTCCAAAATGAGCCTTCAAAGAGAATCAGAGACCCACCACCAAGATAAAACGTACTCGAGGTGACCACACTTTCCATGTGCAACCATCACATGATCTTTATTAAACCAGGACTTTTTCAGGAAATTATAAAAGTAGTAGCAAAACCCCATATTTTTCATCAGGTTTAACAACAGGACAGTCTCTCTCAGCAGAGCTCCCAGACAGAGCCAGACCACCATCTGGCTCCATCGTGGAGCAATGACAACTCACACAAGCGAGCACCTCGCAGCGCTCAGGATGCACGCACTCGGGTGGCTCTGCACAGCTCCATTACAGCCATGAACACACAGCTGCACACAGTCTCCCTCCTCAGAACAGAAACACACCCTCAGACACTCAAACAAGGGGGAAAATACAACATTTTATGCATTTTTCTACGCTTCCCTGATACGCCTGTTACCAATGAACGTCAAGAAATATCTTAAATATCTCACTGCATTGTTAGCACTATATACTATATATAATTTTAATTGTTTTCACACATGCTAATGTTTCCAGTATGATAAATGTCTTTTTAAATCCTGCAGTTTTGTCACACTTCGGTTTGACGGTGACTCCCAGGCATACATATCAAGACAAAAATAAATACTGCTCTGGTGGCAAACACTTCAGAACTCTTAGGACGCTAATACAGTGGCACTTGAAGACTTTTTAAATACAACAACAAAAGACAGTTGTTAAATAGAAGCCTGCTCTGACACAGCTACAGAACCCGCACTGCATCTGTGAGTCCATCCCTGTTTGTGCACGAACAGCTTCCGATCTTCGGACACATCAATGTTACACTCCAGCCCTCTGCCCATAACCTTAAAAAAGCCCTCGGTGCTATTCCAAGCAAGCCTCCCCTCTAGCTGTACATCAGAAACGCTGTAATTCCCAAACAATTGAGGTAATTATAAAAATGAATATCATTTATTGTTTGTTACTCTCATGTCTTAACACTTACTTCCACACAAAAGCCTGATTTTCAGCATCGCTTCCCAAGGGCATCTCCTCTCCACCCAGGGAGACATAAATGGATGAGAAATTGTGCCGGAGTTTTTGCTATCACCTTTCAGCCCACACGAACTCCATAAATAAGGTTTTGGTAGGAGGCTCCCCCGACATTTTAGAGAAGGGGAAAGGGAGCTTCCACTCATTTTCAGTTCCACTTTATTTTCTGTTTTAAATCACATCTAACCCATTGCAAGTGAAGAAAAGGAAAAAAAAAGAAAGAAAAAAAAAAGAAAGAAAAAAGAAAAAAAAAAAACAACCAGAAATCATCACATTACTACTGCATGTTACCCTTCAGCAGTCTTTGGAGGAACCCAGAACCCTCTCCTGACCCCCACCCTTCCACCAGCCCAGAGGGGCTCGGCCACATAGCGCTGCCCGCTCACAGCCGCGGCTTCCTGAGCAACGTTCTGCTTAGGTCCTTCACCTCCTCGGGGCTGCCAACCCGCTCGTAGCCCAGCAGGGCCATGGGCTGCTGGCAGTACTCCTCCACCTGCTTGATCTGCTGGAAGCTGAGCGCAGTCCTCCAGGCGCTCAGCGCCTGCGTGGCATTCCGGGCCGATACCACAAAGGGTTTGGAGGAATAGCCGGGGCCACTGGTCATGTTGAGGGTGAACTTCTCCATCTCCGGGCTGACCGCCAGGTTAACAAAGCCGTACACCTGCCGCAGGGTCTTGATGGGCTCCATCACCAGGTCCTCGTAGCGCACAGCCATGTAGTTGCCCCGCAGCCAGTCCGGGGGGTGCAGGGCAGTCTGCAGGGTCTTGGCCATGCTGCTACAGATGACCTCCATGGCACCCAGGGCGTGGTAGTCCGAGCCGCCCCCGCCGTCCTTCTTCCCGCCCAGCTTGTGGCCGGCGTCGAGGAAGGGCATGCGGTGGATGCGGGGGTCGCGGCTCCTCACCACCTGCAGGCTCTCCCGGATGAGGCCGTGTCGGGATTTGATGCGGGAGCTGGCGACCGCCCGCGGGTCCCGCACCAGGTGGATGACTTTGAGGTCCAGGGTGGGGTCCCGCATCAGCGGGGCGAGGACGGCCAGGTCGAAGACGCGCACGCCTTTGATGACCAGCGTGCGGTACTTGTGGCACTCCTCCTGGAAGCGGCTGAGGCGCTGCGGGGGACACTTCTTGCACACGCGGTCGTCCACCATGCCCACCACCTCCTTGCGGTAGGCCGGGCACAGGGGGGACGAGCAGATCACCTTGTTGGTGGCCGCCCCGAAGATGCCCAGCGTTGTCAGGTTCTTCCCGGCGCCCGCCGTGCTGTACAGCTGGAACACGGAGAGGTCGCAGCGGTACAGGGAGCTCAGCATGTCGCGGGCCGCTCCCTGCAGCGAGACGGCGTCCCCGGGATACAGCTTCTGCCAGACGTGCCACACGGGCTCGTAGAGAAAGAACACCTCGGGGTTCTGGTTGAAGAGCTCCCCGAAGAAGGACGACCCGGAGCGCCAGGTGGTGAATACGTACACCAGCTGCCTCCGCCCGCTCTGCGGAGCGCTGCTCCCGGCCGGCGGCGGAGGGGGCCGCTGGCGGGGGACGGCCGGGGGCTCCCCGCAGCGCCGCGGCTCCCGCCGCCACTTGTACTCCAGCAGGTTGAGGGCGGCGAGGAGCAGCAGGAGCGCGTAGCCCAGGCAAAGCGCCAGCGCTTTCCGCCGGCACACTTTCATGCTGGGCGGCGGCGGCGGCGGGGCCAACTGTTGCTCAGCGCCCCGGCGCCCCGGGGCCCGCGGCGGGCAGCAGGGCGCACCGCCCCCGGCGCCGTCTCCCGGCCGGCCCCCC